AAAAAAAAAAAGACAGAGAGAGAGAGAAAGAGAGAACTCAGATAAATACAATTAGAAACAAGAAGGATATATCACATCTGATACCTCAGAAATACAAAGGATCATAAGAGACTACTAAGAATAATTAGATGTCAACAAACTGGACAAGACTGCAAGAAACGGACAGATTCCTAGAAACACAAACCTAACAGGACTGAATCATGAAGAAACAGAAAATCTGAACAGAATGATTACTAGCAAGGAGATAGAATCAGTCATCAAAAACCTCCCAAAAAAGAGAAGTCCAGGACCAGATGGCTTCACTGGTCCATCCTACCAAACATTTGAATGAATACCAATCCTTCTCAAACTCTTCCATAAACAGAAGGAACTCTTCTAAACTCACTGTATGTGGACACATTACCCTGATACCAAAACTAGACAAAGACACCACAGGAAAAGAGAACCATCAAGAATTGCAAAAAGACGGGCGCCTGGGTGGCTCAGTTGGTTAAGCAACTGCATTCGGCTCAGGTCATGATCCTGGAGTCCCGGGATCGAGTCCCACATCGGGCTCCCTGCTTGGCAGGGAGTCTGCTTCCCCCTCTGACCCTCTCATGCTCTATCTCATTCTCTGTCTCGAATAAATAAATAAAATCTTTAAAAAAAAAAAAAGAATTGCAAAAAGACTTGACGTCCAAAATAGGAGATTGTTTTGAAAAATAATCTCAATTTATTCATCCAGTAAAATGCTATAAGGCCATTAAAAACAATTATATATACATTCATTCACAAAGAAGGATGTATATTACAAATCACATTTAAAAAGCAGGCTGAAAAGGGACACCTGGTGGCTCAGTCAGATGAGGGTCCAACTCTTGATTTTAGCTAAGGTTGTGATCTTGGGGTCCTGAGTCTGAGCCCCGCATTGAGCTCTGCACTCATCAGGGAGTCTGCTTGAGATGCTCTCTCTCCCTCTCCCTCTGCCCCGCCCCTCCATGCTCTCTCTCTCTCTCAAATAAATAAATAATTAAAAAAAGCAGGCTGAGGGGCACCTGGGTGGCTCAGGCGTTAAGCGTCTGCCTTCGGCTCAGGTCATGATCCCAGAGTCCTGGGATCGAGCCCCACATCGGGCTCCCTGCTCCGCAGGAAGCCTGCTTCTCCCTCTCCCACTCCCCCTGCTTGCGTTCCCTCTCTCGCTGTCTCTCTCTCTGTGTCAAATAAATAAATAAATAAATCTTTAAAAATAAATAAATAAATAAAAATTAAAAAAGCAGGCTGAATGCATTATATACAGTATGATATAAAGACACATGCCTATATATACATATGTATACACACACATATGCTTGAAATAATACACAGCAGGATAAATATTAAATATTTTCTTTAGATGGAAAAGCAATGTTTGTACATGTGCTTTTTATTTTCTGATATGTGCACCATAAGCATATGTTATTTTATAATTAAGTAAAATTAAAATTTCCAGTTGTGATTAGATTTGGGCTAAACACACTGATTTTCCGCGCTCATCTCCTAGTAGGAACAGTCTATGCTTCACATAAAACAGATGGGCGCTGGGTTAAGAATTTTCAGAATAAAAGCCTTTAGACTGATGAATAAAGCCCTGAAAGCACTGTGGCATCAGAGAGAGCAATTCACAAGAATTTAAAAAATTCAAAGGTTAATGTAGGACATGGTAAACTGCACTGAAGTAGGAGGTTACATTGAGATTTATCTTTTCCGAGGCACATGGAGATCACTTTCTATTAAGGGAAATGTGGCAGACATCTAATAGCTAGGGAAATAGCGAGGGAAACATTAAGACTACAGCAAGTTACTCCAGTCAGACAGGATATAAGAGTACATACGCAGTAAATAATCATTCCTTCTCTTGGTTCCCTTTACAATTCCTGATTCTGAGATGCAAGATTCTAACAATTTGGGAGTAAGAAAAGTAAGATGATATTTTATCCAAGGCAAGATCTGTAACCTGGGGTCTATGTAACCTTCGTAGTTAGTCAAATTCTTGAATTTGAAGGCACCTAATTTATTCATGAGCAAATAAACTTTTTCTTGGGAAATGAGTCCATTGATTTGATCAGAATCCTGAGCAAGTGCTCCCCCCTCCCAAAAATGAAGACTGACCAACAAATCCATCCATCAAAGAGCGGATTTCAGCCTAGTATCATTATTTCCTTGATTTGTGGAAATTTAGTACTGGTTAAAGAGCAATTAGGTGAGCCTCTGAGTATGTATTTCTTAATGATGCAATTCATTCCTGATATGTTATAGAGATTTGGCAGTTTCTTGACATCAAACTGTTTTTTCCACTTTTATTGTCACTCTAACTTGATGGCCCCCTTTGCCGGCTAGCAAGTCCACACCATGCACTGTTACTTTTATTCTTCTTATGCTTCTGACTTCTTCTACGCTACTCCTTTTACTATGTTTATACTTCGACTTGTAACTCTTTGCTTAAATCCAGCTCACACATTTATCCAGGAGGAATTCCCTGACACCAAAACCCAAATATTCAGCAGCATGGCTTCTTAGTTAATTAGCTGAGTGGACTTAGACGTTCTTCACCTAAACAGAGTACATGATAGCAGCAGGCTAGCAAAATATACAACAACGATATACAACAAAACAACAAGCAAACAAAAATCATGGAAGGCTAACAGAAGATAGATAACCTTTTATGTCTTTAAGAAAGACTTTTTTTAAAAGATTATAAAGCAAAAGACATTTATCATCTACAAGACTGCATAAAATTAAAAACATGCAAAAAGGGCATCATATCAGAATAGGATGAGTACACTTAGCTATGGAAACAGATAAAAAATCACCCCCATTGCTTTACTGTTCTCATTTCCCCATAGACAAGTGCTAAATGTTAGACTGGCTATGTCTAAATGTATCACACAGTAGATATATGAAAAAAAAATAATTAGCAAAACTTTAAGATTCCTTCCACCTCCAAAATCCAATGATTCTGCAAAGCATCTGTAATCAGAAAACTCTGAAAACTACTATATTTGAGGTGCATTCTGTGTCTAGTTGAGTCTTGCCTTGAGCTCATATGAACTCTCATCGTCTCTTTAGTACTGTCTTCCGGTGATCTCAATGACTGTGTTTGCCAACTCAATATCCTGCACATATGTGAGCCTGTGTTTGGCTTTTTATTTATAAATTTCCCTCTACAATATTCACTTCACAATTAATATCCTTTAGATGTCCTTGTCTACAGCATCTTTAGATAATTCAGGTAGGTGCCCACTGACAACAGTTTAATTTACAAAATATCTTGGTAAGTTTAACTTGACCATAGCATTCCTAATTGAAAAGAGTATTTTAAGTAGAAGGAAATTAGTTTTGATTATTGTGTTTAAAAAAAAAAAAACAGCCCAGATGATTCTTTAACTGATACTTATGCATATTGTTTGTAGTTATTACCAAGTCAAACCATGTTAAGTGTATTCCCATGGTACTGTTTCAGTTTTGCTTATGTACGATAAATGCTGCCCTTATCAAAAATTAAAAAAAAAATAATACGAGGGAAGCAGATACTTATCTTTCAAAGTAAAGATAATTTTTGGTAAGTAATTAAAATAATGTTGTAGGTTGGAGACACAGAACACAGTTTATTTATACTGAAGGATATCATTGCTTTCTCCTCATAATTCAGACCAAGAACTTGTGCTTTTAATATGAAATGAAACAAAAATGTTTTCAAAAGACAATGATTTTCCAGCAAAATAGTAAATTATTATAATTAGCTATTAAGTTAAGAAAAGGAGGGCGCCTGGGTGGCTCAGTTGGTTGGGCGACTGCCTTCGGCTCGGGTAATGATCCTGGAGTCCCGGGATCGAGTCCCGCATCGGGCTCCCTGCTCGGCAGGGAGTCTGCTTCTCCCTCTGATCCTCCTCCCTCTCATGCTCTCTGTCTCTCATTCTCTCTGTCTCAAATAAATAAATAAAATCTTTAAAAAAATAAATAAATAAAAGGAAACGATATAAAATAACATTGGTCTAAAAGAGAGAAATATTCTCTAATTCTGCTAGCAGGTTGCCCATTATAAAATGCATGGGACTTGGATCTGAATGTCCCTAATTATGGCCAGTACAGGATGCCCGTAGGTAATGCAGCTGGGGGCGTTCTTGCAGCATTCCAGTCTGGCCCGTTATCCGGACTGCTCTCACAAAACTGAAGACTTAGAAGATAAATTAAGCCCAGACAAGATAACAACTGTCCTTTTTCCCTTTTACACCTTCTAGGTGCCCAGTCCAAATTGTGAAATGTGGGGTAGAAAGAATGTGCTGTGATGGAAGGACACAGTGAGTGGGGGGCGGTGGGGCAGCATCGAGGCGGACTTCTTCCCCTACGTGGACCCTGACAGTCCCACTCCTCCTCTCCACCCTGCCCACTGTCCCCATCTGCAACCACAGCTCCATTAGCAGCACTGCAGCCCCCCAAGAGGACAAAGACAGCCCATCCCGGTGGGAGAGTCCTGTGCCCCGCCTGACTCACCACAAAGCTCTGAGAGACTCTGAATTTTAGATGTGAAATGAATGAGGGGTCCTCCACCCCACACCACAATGTAAAGTGGGTCATAAATCTGAGAGACTCAGGTTCACCGAGCTGAATGCTCGCTCCTTGTGAGAGCACCTTCTGTGCTCAGCCCAACACACTGTGTCCTCGAGTCACCCAAGCTGTACTCCCAGACCCTCGCCCTGCTTCTCCTACTCTTCCAGACCCACCATCCCCTGGTCAGGGCACTCTACCCTCACCTTGTTCCTGGATGTCAGGGGAAAATACAATGGCTCTCTCAGACACAGACGGCCCCTTCCCTCCTTATTCTTCCTTCCGGGAGTTAAAAAAAAAAAATGTTTTTTGTTGATAAGCACAGAAAATCATGTCAAATTCTACAGAGAAAGTTTGATACCCTATCAGCAAACACATGCAGCTACTTATACCAAATAGGTTGTGACATGGGGACAAAGGAAAAAAGAGTCACTAACGTCTCTATCCAGAACTCTGCCCGTGCTGTTCAGGAAGAGCATTTGCTGAACAGGGTCCAGCAACACCCAGTAATCCACGTTGTCCTTTAAGGAAAGTTCGATGGTGGGGTCTGGTCCTCCAGCAGTCCCTTTGATCAGCATGTTATCCACCAGAATCGTACCTGTGGGCCAAAGACAGTTATTTGAAAACATATGCTACTCGTACGGATTCTTGATCAAGATCGTATGCTTAAAACCCAGTTGACTGGCAAATCCGTTTTCAACCAGAAAATATTCAATGTTATGTCTGGAATGAGATAGAAAATGTCCTGTCTCCAAAAGGCGAGAATAACCTTTATTCCACTATTTATAAATGGTATTTTTGGGAGATGAAGGTGGCGGGGAGATATTCAACCACTTGGTGAGTTTCATCATCTATTTCTTGTTTCCCTTTTGACAACTTCAATCTGTTCCCCTCCCTGTCCATCACTCCTCACAGGTGTGATCACTGGGTTTCACCCCGAACAAAAGGAAATGCCTGAGACACAGAGAATGATATTTCAGTTCCCTCAGTAAGACTTCTGATATGAAAAGAGATAGCCTGAAAATAAGAGAAAAGAAGAAAAGGAAGAGATAAAGAAGTAGCAAGGTCTTCCATGGTGAGAACTGCTTCTTTCTTTTTTATCTTGGAGCAAATCCATAAAACATAAATCTTAATGTGAAAGACAAAACTAGTGTGCAGACACAAGACAGACTTCATTCTTCTTGCAGACGCGTCTGGGGTACTTGACCAGAACAACACACTATTCCAATGGAACATTTTGGTGCTTGCTTTCTTACTATCTTTGTAGCAGGCTAAATTGTAGACATTTGTTGAGTGAGTTGAAAAGACAGCACATCTCTAATCTTTCCTATTTTGTTAAAAATTCCATGCATTTTGCAAGTTGGATGCAAACAGAACTGATGCGATTCAAATCCCATTTTTCCCCCCATACAACAACAATCCTTCTGCCAAACAGTAGTGCACTATAGCTTAGGGCAATCATTTTCAGCCGATCCATTTTATTAAAATTATGGCATCGAGAAGAGATGGGGCTATGCAAATAAAAATGTACCCTCCTAAAGACATTAGAATAAATGGCATATATCTAGAGAACTCATTGCCTTAGGATAACATACAAGAATACATAGATAATCCATAAATATAAATCTAGCTTGAATAACAATGCAAAACGTATCTGCTGCATTTTCTTAAGGCATGGAATTGGCCTATATATTATATCATTGCATCATCACAAATAAAAGGGGGGGTCTCTTTGGAAGATTTTCTCAGCAAATAGTAATTAAAAATAATAAAAGCTATACTATTTTTGTTTCTAATAGTATTATCAATGAGCTTTATCTGCCTGGCGAATGTTGAAAGGAACCACTCTTTTGTAGCAATAAATCTGAATAATGTTTAAACACATACTCTCTCACACACACACATTTCTAAATGGCAGATTATCTCCTACTTTATTCACATATTGGTACACAGGCCTGTAAATACAGAGTGAAACTGATCCTTCTATTTTTCATAGAAATGGCAACTAGATTCCCTACAGATAATATATCCAAAAGTACATTCAGACAATGGTGGTATTTTCTGACCTGGGAATATGTTCAAGGCTCGAGTACACACTTGTTTACAATTACGTCACACCACTAAAATGTTTGAAAAATTATTTTGTAAGTCAATATGTAATTAGGAAATTAAATGAGGTTCTATTTACTGATGAAGAAAAAGATACAGAAATGTACAGCAGTGGGTCGGCTGGCAGCGCTCATACCTCCACTCAGCCCTGCCTTATACCAGGAGCCACAGGCTTCCTGAGACATGCGGAGGGAGGGGCAGGGACCCCCCCCCCGGGGTTCCAATGGATCATAACCAGAGAACTTGCCATCGTTATCTTAACGACAATTAGCGCAGTAAAACTAAGACAGTATATCTGGACTTATATTTTGTTTAATGATGTCTAATTTTCCTGGAGAAGATCCAACTATGTTTTCTGGCTCCATCCTCAGCCCTGTGTTCTTCCATGACCATAACTCAGCAAGAATGGTTTCCAGGGCTAGTGCACCAAAAAAACGAAAAGCTTTGTTTTCTTTCACCAGAATACACCTCCAAGTTGCTAAAATCTCTCCATACTTTCGGGGCGCCTGGGTGGCTCAGTTGTTAAGCATCTGCCTTTGGCTCAGGTTGTGATCCCGGGGTCCTGGGATCAAGCCCTGCATTGGGCTCCCTGCTCAGCGGGAAGCCTGCTTCTCCCTCCCCACCCCACTAGTGCTCTCTCTCTCACTATCTCTGTCTCTCCCCAAATAAATAAAAATCTTTAAAGAAAAAATCTCTCCATACTTTCATAATCCATGTTACCTTGACCAAAATTTTGGAGAAGAGAGACTAAAACTAAAAATAAATAGATATTATATTTATATACTATTTATGTTATATTGCATCATATATATTTATATTTATATGAACTATATATTTATACTACAGATAGTATAAATAAAAATTAGATATTTAATATTTTTCCTGTGAAAGTTATTTGCTTCTTTAAATAGGCAGTTATAACACAAATGAAGCACTCTCTAAAAATGCTGTGGAGGTGGCATGGGGGGGTGTCCATTGCCTTCCTAATTAACCTAATTCAATGAAGCTGAAAAAGTAAGTTATACAGGGAGAGAGAGTAATTGACTATTTGGGCTCATTCCAAACATTAAAATAAAGAAAATCACTCTGCCCAGAACCCACTAGTTGTTGCTATAAAAATTAATTATTCAAAGGTATATAACAAATATGGATTGCATAAAATCTCTTGCAACAATCTTTCCCCAGTTTAAGCCAATTGGCAGAATGTTCAGATACATCATCTAGCCAGAAGAATCTATTGCATGTTACTCCCTGCAAATGAAAACATAAAAAAAGCTCCCAAATGCACATGATTTGACTAAAATAAATTTGAAAATAAAAAAGTGAAAATAAAGTTATCTGTAGTTTTTCAGTGAGGTTAACCAGTAAGTATGACCATGATATAGTTGCTATTGAGTGAAATCTGGATTCCAAGATTAACAGGCTAAGCAAAACTCTTCTCATGCTCAAATCTTATTCTTTGTTGAAACTTTCCAGGGAAGCCTGGAAGTAGTCTCTCCACTTTGATTTTTCACACTTCTTGGTCTACAGTTATATAAATGATACATTCTAGCTAAGCCTATGTTCTTATTGTAGCTAGATCACTACTCGGTAAGCTCCTACAGGGAAAGAAATACATGTGTGTTCAACAATTTCATAAAAAACGTAAATTTTGATTGGGCTGTGTTTGCATATTAAGGATGTATTAACCATGTGCAACATCTGCTGAAGTTGGAAAATGACCCCAATCAAGTCAACAGTGGTGAGACAAAAATGTGCAGAAATTACAAGTATACTGCTTTGCAAAGTGACACTGGTCTTTACAAAGTATACTTTATTTACATCGAGAGAACAAAGTATTGCAAAATGGGTAGCTTTGTTGGAGTGTACTTCACTTACTCTGAGTAACAATACTTTTTACTTGTGATTTTTACTTCACGGTATTCAGTGTTCGATAGGTGATCTGTCAAGCATGGCACAGATGTAGAAAAACTTTAGAAATAAGAGGGTTTCCCCCCCCCCTTCTACCCTTAACTTTTTTCTTAGAAACTGATATAAATGCCTTGCCATTTAGACAACTGTTAATGTGTGTATTCTGTTGCGAGTAAAGTATTAAGTAAATGTATTATTCAATTTTGTGTAGAAGTCGTGTTTTTGTTTATATGTCACTTATCCAACTCAAAATAGAACCACAGAATTTTAGAACTATAAGAGAGCCTCCCCTTTCTTCCTAATGCATCCATGAGGAAAATGAAGCTGATCCTCTGGTATCTCCACATCTCCCTATCTCAAGCACCGAAATGCCCTGGCCAAGGTGGGGTAGCTAATAAATACATTTCCAAGACCAAACCCCAGGTTTATTACTTCACAATGTATATCTCCTTTCTCTATGCCTTGCTATCACACTGGAAATATACAAATTTGTAAAAGAAAATATGAAATGATGAAAACCTTGTTAGTTTTGTTTTGAGATCATGGAAAAGCCACAAAAAAATACTGTAGATTCATTCTTTGGAGTTCTGTACTCTATCATTTTCTTGACAAAATTTAAAGGGTTAAAATGGAAACAACTCTAAAGTAAGATATAGGGAGAAACTGGGGCTCCTGAATGGCTCAGTCAGTTGAGCTTCTGACTCTTGGTTTCAGCTCAGGCCATGATCTCATGAGTTCTGGGATGGAGCTGTATGTTGGGCTCCACGCTCAGCTCAGCAAGGAGTCTGCCTGAGATTCTCTCCCTCTGGCCCTCCCCACTTCTCTCTCTCACTCTCTCTCAAATAAATAAATCCATCTTTAAAAAAGAAGATATAGAGAGAATAGTACAATGTAATTATCAATGACCTGACCCTAGAATTAATTTTCTCAGATTATAGATAGGTGTAGATATACAAATATGCATATACATATGGTATAGTCTTTGATCTTATAGCTTACCACCCATAAAAGAGAATAGATAGTTGGCATTAAGGATAACCCAATAAATCTTCAGCTCAGACTGGGAGTATTAGTTTAAGAAGTGAACACACTAACTCAGAGTCCCTTGGAACAACCACGGTACCTCCTTTCCAGTGTGGCAAAGGGAAGAATCCTGAACACAGAGGATGGACTCTGAGCTCTCTAGAAACTGGAAAGGCTCCATGGTGGACAGACCCTTAAGGTGCCCTTGACTTGCTTCTAACCAAAAGAATATGGCAAAGGTGATGGGAAGTTACATTTACATGTACATTATGTGGTTACATTACATGAGATTCCAATGACTATCTTGTTGAGGCTCAGTCTCTTTCGTTTGCTAATTTTGACAAAGCAATGAGCCATTTTGTGAGGGCCACTTGACAAGGAACTATAGCAGCGTTTAGAGGCAGAGGGTGGCCTCAGCTGAGAGCCAAATAGACACAGAAGACTTTAGTCCCACAGCCACAAGGAAGTGGATTTTGCCAGCAGCCTGAGTGAGCCTAGAAGCAGATGCTCCCCAAGTTGCATCTCAGTGAGACCATAGTCATGACAATATTGGAC